GTCCTGCGAGGCTGTGGAGATGGTACCTGGTGTCTGACAGTAATCACGTGGCAGGATAAGACTGTGGTTCTGAAAAGTCACCCTGGCCACAGTGTAAACACGTGGACGGGGAGGGGCTGGCCTAGAGGCAGGAGAAAGTGAGGCCGGCAATAGGCCAGGGGGCCGGCAGACCTGGGCAAGGCTGCGGCGGCCGCAGGAAATGGGAACACATCTCGAGCAGCTGCTGGCGATTTTTCTAAAACACAAAACCAGATCGTGCCAGGTCCCCACTTACAATGGCTCAGGACCTTCCACAATTCTCCCTGGCCACCCGTGCCCCCACCCAGAGTCAAGCTCCCCTGAGGCACGCTGTGCTTCCATGGCCATGCTGTCCAGCTCAGGCTCTCTCCTGCGGCCTGGCAGGCCCCATTAGCCTGCCGAAGACCCACAGGCCCCCCGGGAGGCACAAAGCAGGCTGGCACCTAAGCGCCGGTGGGCGCCGGCCGAGATCGCCTCAAAGACACAAGGTCATACCGCGCCGGCAACAACGGGAGACAAAAAGACCACTTCATAACTCAGCCTCAACGACAAAATAAAGTCTGGTGCCATCCACAAAACACCAGACCCTCCCCCTGCCAGGAGTGACTGCGGCTCCTTGAATGGCAGGGATTCTCACTCAGTCAGACCTCCTTCCAGAAAAGGCTGACTGAAGTACCAACCACAGGACTGCCCGGCCCCTGTCACACCCAACCCAGAGCAAGTCCTCGCTTCCTTGAACTCTCCTCAAATGTATCCAACCGCAGCCCAAGTCCTGAAGGTCCCTCTAACACCACCCCAGTCCCATCCCATCCCGTCCCCCACTGACAAACCCGTAAGTCCCCCCAGTGTGAGGGCTCCCCCTACGATGAGTCACTGAGAACAACTGCTTAACTACAAGTGGCTTCCAGTGGTGTCTGCGGGAAGACACGGACAGCGGTAACAAGAAGGGACGGCTACTTTCTGGGCGGGAGGTGGGTGAATTCTAACCTGAAGGCTTCCATTTTCTGTCAGCAATACCCACTACTTCACTCATTACCTTGAAAAGGAAGGGGAGAGGAGGGAGTTTGAGGAAAGTGGGAAATGGCTGAATTAAGTATCCTGGAGAGCAGGAAAGTGCGTTGACCAGGGAATCATACTAGAATGGCCATGCTCTGTTCAGGGCACAGGTGAGGCTGGCCGGCATGAATGCAGAGCAGTCCCAAGCCTCCCCGCTGGTGATGGTCACCACAGTATTCGAGGTGAGAAAGGAGAGTTTGGTTCAACCAGGGTTTGGGGTTTACCAGCACCAGAGGGCAGGAGAGATCAAGTCACTGCCAGGAGAAGGGCAGAGTGACTGACCATGAACTCTAAGCTCAATTGAGTGGTAACAGCCTAGAGCAGAGGTTGCCAACCGGTGATCCTCGGGCCGCTGATGGTCCTTGAGGCCCGAAAACCAGGGAGGTCCTGAGGGAACATCGGCTGGGGGGTGTAAGAGGAATAACTGACTAAGCGAGCTGAAAGGAAGAATGCGAAAAAGCTTCAAGGAACTGCATCTGCGTGGCCAGCACATCCGGTCTTCAGAGCGTGGACCCAGCCAGAGCGTCTGTGCAGGGGGCCAGAGCGGGCCCCTGCCCACAGACCCTGCTGCCCTGCTGGGCGGGCTGGGAACTACGGCCTGGAATCACCTGCAGTTCAAACCCGCACTTCTCCTGCAATGCTCAGGTGTCTGAGGAAACCGAGGCAGAGAAGCTAAATGAGGAAAACTACCCGACTGAGCGTCAAGGACAGCCATGCTCTAGTCCTGCTGTTTCTCTGCACTTTTATTTGCGTCTGAACTATTTTTAGCTAATTTCCTTTTTTTTTAAGTATGCAAAATACATTTCCAATAAATATTTAGTAAACCAATACTATCAATAAATATTAAATAAACCTAACCCTAATGTGCTACAGAAAACCTTTGTGTGTGTATGTGTGTGTGTGTGTGTGTGTGTGTTGGGTAATCCTCACTTGAGGATATTTTTCCCATTGATTTTTAGAAAGAGCAGAAAGGAGGGAGGGGGAGAGAGAGAAAGAAGGGGAGAAACATCAATTGGAGAGAGACACATCAATTGATTGTTTCCCACAAGCGCCCTGAGGGGAATCAAACCTGCAACCCAGGCACGCCTGTGACCCCTTGACCAGGAATCAAACAACACCATTTTGTACTCAGGCAGACACTTTAACCACTGAGCACACAGCCGGGCCAGAAAAGTATTTTATTCCCCTCTCATAATTTAGATGACACTGTAGATTCTCTTACTAAAAAGCAGTCAACATGAGGACAATTATTTCTAATTCAACAGTGCTATACATGTGCTCAATAGCAACTGAAAGCAGAAGAAATAAAGCTGTGCGTCTTTAAATTCACAAATTTCACCAAGGACCGCCACCACGCCTTTAATAAATATGCATGCATTTATCTATTTACTAATATTTAATCTACCACCACTCACACATACCACATGCCAGACCCTGCTTTAAGTGCTTTCCTAATATTAAGTATCATTTAACCCGGAGCAGCGGCTGCCAGGCTGGGAACGGCCAAGCCCGGGGGAGCAGGCGGGGCTGGTGCGGCCAGGCCCGGAGCAGCGGCTGCCAGGCTGGGAGCGGCCAGGCCCGGGGGAGCAGGCGGGGCTGGTGCGGCCAGGCCCGGAGCAGCGGCTGCCAGGCTGGGAGCGGCCAGGCCCGGGGGAGCAGGCGGGGCTGGTGCGGCCAGGCCCGGAGCAGCGGCTGCCAGGCTGGGAGCGGCCAGGCCCGGGGGAGCAGGCGGGTCGGGTGCGGCCAGGCCCGGAGCAGCGGCTGCCAGGCTGGGAGCGGCCAGGCGCGGGGGAGCAGGCGGGGCTGGTGCGGCCAGGCCCGGAGCAGCGGCTGCCAGGCTGGGAGCGGCCAGGTCTGGGGGAGCAGGCGGGGCGGGTGCGGCCAGGCCCGGAGCAGCGGCTGCCAGGCTGGGAGCGGCCAGGCCCGGGGGAGCAGGCGGGTCGGGTGCGGCCAGGCCCGGAGCAGCGGCTGCCAGGTGGGAGTGGCCAGGCCCGGAGCAGCAGCAGCCAAGTCCAGAGCAACTAGGTCGGGAGCGGCAGTGACCAGACCCGGAGCAGCTGGTTGTGGAATGAACCAGAGCAACAGAGGCCAGGCCCTGAGCAGCCAGGCCCAGAACAGCTCGCTCCTTGCCTGCCCCTGCCCCATGGCTGCTTCTCAGACATGGCTGGAAACTTTCGTGGGAACTTGAGGGTCTGCTGAATCAAGTGATGAAGGCTTAGATCTGGATGTGTTGAGTTAGTTTAGGACTGGGGTGTTGATCTGTGAGTGCCTTGGGTGGGGCCTAGATGAGGCTGGTGGACCTATTGGGAAATGTCTTTTGTGTGAAGTGTATCATTGGGCATGTGGAGGTATTATTGATATGAGAAAATGCTAAGTAACTGATTTACTATCTGAAAAGGGATTTACTATTGGGGAAATTGAGGGAAGAAGAGACTGAACATAAACTGCACCTATGGATGAGGACAATGGGGGATGGGGAGGGGGCAGAGGGTGGGGTGGGAACCTGGTGGAGGGAGAAAGAAATGAGGAACCTTTGTAATAATATGAACAATAAAGATTGATTTAAAAAAAAAAAAGTATCATTTAATCTTTACGATCATCCCACTTTACAGACCAGAAAACTGAGGACACAGGTTGGTTTAATAACTTGCCCAAGGTCTTACACAACTTGTAAACGGCAGGGCTCAGATCAGTGTGGCATTCTGGCTCCAGAGTGCAGGGTCTGCTTCACTAAGCATGGTGTCCAAGACCCCACAAAAAGCGCAATCCTTAACCCCGGCTTTTGTTCTCCCCACCGACAACCCCTGCATGGCCCAGCAGCCAGGGCACTGGTTCCGTTCCTCCGGAAGCCCACACTTCACTTGCTCTGCCTCAACAGTCTCCTACACTGTTTCTTAAGCCTTTTGTTCTCGGTTTAAAAACCACTGCCTAAATTACAACGTGGAATCTCAGCGTTCCACGCAAAATTATCATTATGTGTTTTATGGGTAATTACTTGTCTCCTGTCTCTTTTCCAGCTGGGCTGTATGTCAGGCGCCGTGTCAGTCTCATTCATTATGTGGTCTCAATCACTGAACCCCACCACCGTGCACAAATGAGGGGCCTGGAGCAAAGTAAACTATCAATAATTTTTGTTGAATGAATAAATGGAGCACATTCAAGTCTCATGCTTTCTTTCTCATGCTTCCTGGTGTGTGATGTACACCTGTGCTCACAAACCCCACGCCCAAGCCCGCGCGCGTGTGCGTGCACACACACACACACACACACACACACTCACACACTACACCCCTAATAGTGTGGACTCCTGTAGCATCAGGCGAGAACTCTGGGAAGCACTGGCTTTGCACACCAATATGATGAGGTCGTGGATACATCATTACTCCCCTTGACTGGCGCGAGTTTCAGGTGCACAATGGGGATCATGACAAACCCAGTGGAATGTAACCTGTGGAAGAGGGAGAGCCTGCACTTCTCCTAACCATCGAGACTGCAGTTAGTATGAGCTTCACGTTTGTCTTTCTAGCAAGGCTGTAGCTCCAGGTAGGCCAAGCCCACGTGTGCCTCGTGCCCAGAGTGCTCAATGATCTCCTGTCAGAGGCTCCAATAAGCTTACTGGAGCCTCTGACAGGCCGCCCACCACCACTGTCCCAGCAACCTTCGCGCTTATTGGAGCCTCTGACAGGCCGCCTGCTATACTCTAGGCACGATCCGGGCTTGCACCTCGCCCGGCACACAGCAGAAGGTAAACACTGTGAGTTTCATAAATGGCCCCCTGCCTGTGAAACTCGCAGGCGAGAAGCCAGGGTCCGGGAGCTGGCGGGCGCCTGGTGGCGTGCAAGCGCGTTCCACAGACACAGGCCCGCCTCCCACCTGGGCCCCGGCACCCCGGAGCCCCCGGCCCCCAACCCGCGCCCCGCAGGCACCTCTTGCAGATGGAAGCATCTTCGCAGGTGCCTTGCACGCCTTCGTCGTCAGTTTCGGTCGAGGCAGGACAGGAGTTGAAAGTGGTCGTCCTCAGGTTAGTGGCCATGGGCGTGAAGGTCCCGGGGTGCTGTGCCCACCTGGGACATGAAAGCGGGGTCCACAGCCACCGGGGGATTACCGAACCTCCAAGAGGCAGGAGAGAGGGGCTGGCTCCGCCCGCTCAGCTGGCGCGGCTCAGGGAGGCCGCCCACGACCACTGTCCCAGCAACCTTCGCGCTCATTGGAGCCTCTGACTGGACGCTCATTGAGTAATTTCCCAGCCTCTCAGCCTACGGAGGTGCTCATTGGACAACTCCTTTAGCCCCGCCCACAAGGCCCGGAAGTTTGCGAGGGCGGGGGAAGTAAAGTGAACTTGAGACACTATGGCACCGCACTACTTTCTGGGAATTGTAGTCTTAGGTAAGTTGGGAGGACACAGATTCTTATTGCTGGTCACGAAATTTTATAACTGTAATTAACTCAGGTCAGGGATCCTAGCGCTGGGTCCAAGGGCAGAGAAACCAGCCGAAGGAAACAAGTGTCATTGTGACAGTCAGTCGAGGCTCAGTCTCATTTAACAATTATTGTGTTCCCTCTGAGCCGGGAGCCGGGCTCAGCACATATAATGGTCTTTGAGATGTCATGAAGGAAGGAATGAGTGGCCCAGCCGGCGTGGCTCAGTGGTTGAGCATCGATGTATGAATCAGGAGGTCACGGTTCCATTCCAGGTCAGGGCACATGCCCAGGTTGTGGGCTTGATTGCCAGTGTGGGGCGTGCAGGAGGCAGCCAATCAATGATTCTCTCTCATCATTAATGTTACCACCTCTCTCTCTCCCTTTCCCTTCCTCTCTGGAATCAATAAAAATATCTTACAAAAAACAAAGGAAGGATCTGTGGAAAACAATATAATTGAAAACTATGTAGTAATGAAAATGAGTGAACTAGAGCTGCTAGCTGCAAGCATCAACTTAAATTTCAGAAACATAATATTCACTGAAAGAAAAAAATATAACATCTTTGTAAAGTTCAAAGCAAGCGAAATTAATGTTGTTTAGAAAAGCATACCTGTTTGGTAAAAAAATATATACAGGAAGGTAAAGAAATGGAGGGGTGGGGCAGGAATCAGGGTGTTTTGTTTGTTTTTGTGTCATAAAATTCTAACCCCTGGACCAGGAGCTTAAATGGAATAAGCGGCTCTGCCTGCGGGAAGCCTTTGGTGGCAGCCCTCAATGAAATACTGACCAAAGTCTTCTAAATCGAAGGCTCAGCAAAGAACAGAAAATAGCACCCAAGGATTTTTTTTTTCCCCCACTGATTTTTAGAGAGAGTGAAAGGGAAGGGTAGAGACTGAAAGAAACATTGAGGTGAGAGAGATACATTGATTGGTTGCCTCCTGCAAGCTCACCTGGCAGGGTCAGGGAACCTGCAACCCAGGTTTGTGCCCTTGACCAGAATCAAACCTGGGATCCTTCAGTCCGCTTATGCTCTATTCACTGAGCCAAACTGGCTAGGGCTACACCATTTCTTTTAGTGGTCCTCCGCCAAGAGGGTAATGCAGCCGAAACCGGTTTGGCTCAGTGGTAGAGCGTTGGTCTGCGGACTGAAAGGTCCCAGGTTCGATTCTGGTCAAGGGCATGTACCTTGGTTGCGGGCACATCCCCAGTAAGGGTTGTGCAAGAGGCAGCTGGTCGATGTTTCTCTCTCATCAACGTTTCTAACTCTCTCTTCCTCTCTGTAAAAAATCAATAAAATATATATATTTTTTTTTAAAGAGGGTAATGCAAACCACTGAACAAACACAGCCTCCTAGATCGGCAGTGTACACATTCCATGGATGTAATAAGTGTCAACAGCAAGTAGAATAAGCTATGGATACCACAGGAATGGATGGTGAGGATTAGGGTGACTAGACAAAGGTGACAAATACTCTGATACACTTCCGTTCTTTGCTGAGCCTTTGATTTAGAAAAAGATGTGATTCAGAAGACTTTGGTCAATGTTTCACTGAAGGCCACCACCAAAGGCTTCCCGCAGGCAGAGCCAGCTCATTCCATTTAAGCTCCTGGTCAAGGGATTAGAACTTTATGACACAGGAGTGGAGTCTGGAAATAGCAAGCTTAGCGATCTCAGGCTGATAAGAGATCTTAGTCTCCAAATATGAGACTGCTGTATAGTTGTGAAAATTTTCCCAGCTGGAGAAAGGCCACTAATCAGCATCCTTTGACAAAATCAAGAAAAGAGAAACTGGAGTTTAAAACCTATCCAAAAATTAATATCAGCAGCAAAAAATTGGGCATTAACTATGAAACCTGATTTTTCCAGATATCAAGACAGCTCTTAATAATGAATCTTAATTTCAGGCTTTATACCACAGAAGTTTATTAAAAAGAAATTATTACTAAAACTAGTACTGAATTACACTATGTCACAAGCTGTAAAGTAAACATTAAAGTCAGTTGCATTTTTATATATTAGCAGTAAACATGTGGACACCAAAATTAAAAATAGGTCTGGCTGTGAAGATGTGGGTTTATTAGGCCTTACACACACACAGGAGGCAGCCAACAGGTGACGTTTATTGCCACTGGTAAAGTTAACCACTAAGTCCCATCGGGCCTGCAGAAGGGCCTCAGCAGGAGTGGCTGGCAGGTGCTATTGTTTCCCCAGCACAAGGCTTATAGAATACAGAGGACAGAAAAACGGGGCATGGAAGGGAAGAGAAAGGTATTTTTGCTCAAGCTGTGGGAGATAAAACTGCTGTCTCTTGGTTGAGGAGCTGGCTAGGCTTCCAAGGTCTCCCAGTCCGCTTACTGATGGCTTCATGTCTTCCCACAGGGTGAGAGAAGGAGCTGTGAGATGGGCCAGTAAGCCAGGACAAGTAGAATAGAAAATGGAGACAGTGGACAAATTGGCAGAGCAATTTACCACAGATACAGAAAGTCACCTCCCTAGAGATAACATGTAGGCCTCATTTGTATTTCAGTCCCAGCCCAGAAAAGGGGCAGAACTGGTGGACAACACAGAAATAGCTGTGGTGACTGAGGACCTCCTGCCCGGACCCTGATCAGTTGGTGGTGACCACAGCCCTGGAGAAGCACACCTAGAAAACTGATGAGTATTCTGCTGAAACCCTCTCTGACACCTCCAAGATTCCCGCCTTTAGAAAAAGATGACACCTTAAAACAAAGAACCCCATTCGTGTTCTCCTCCTGGGGAACAGTTCCCATCATCCTCATTTCCTCCTTCTCCCCCACCCCCCGCCATCCCCCCACCCCACCCCCACCCCCGCTTCAGGCATGTATCTCCTAAACTCTAAGGGACCCCACTAGACCTGCAACCAGGGGAGTGATGGGCAGCAGCAGCTCATCCTAGACTAACCCCTGAACCTGATCCCAAGACCCCCTTTCTCCAGCCTAGGCTTTCCTGTTGCTTCTTTTATGCTAATCTCTTTGTTGTTTTACTGTCCTCAGATGTAATATATGTTTCCTCACAGTCACCTGGACCTGCGTTGTGAAGTTTATCCTGCACAAAGAACCCACATACTACCAGCCAGCTCTAGGCAGACCTGCCAAGGGCCAGGCTCCCTTTCCAGTAACAGTTGATGCCAGGGAAGGGGTCCGTGGTCCCATTTACCATGCAGAGGTGCCATCAGTGTGACCACCGTCTGACAGGTGGTCTCCCAGGCTCCCACCTGAGGGCAGTGACAGCACAACATCTTAATTGATGGGTGGTTGAGTTCCACTCAGTGGTTGTGGGGCTAGTACTTTGGTCACTGTGTCTAGCTGATGACCATCATGAGCTCTTTGGGGCAGCAATACAGTGTTTAGGAAAGTGTACTTTCAGTTAGTCCTGGGGATGACCCCTTATGCTGTTTGTGGAAAGAATGGAGCCCAGGACCCTAGGAACATTTAAGAATGGCTCCATTGCTGAAACCGGTTTGGCTCAGTGGATAGAGCGTCTGTCGGTGGACCAAAGGGTCCCGAGTTCGATTCCAGTCAAGGGCATGTACATTGGTTGTGAGCACATCCCCAGTAGGGAGTGTGTAGGAGGCGGCTGGTCGATGATTCTCTCTCATCGATATTCCTATCTATCCCTCTCCCTTTCTCTCTGAATAAAATATATTTTTTTAAAAAAAGAATGGCTCCATGGTTGCCTCCTGAGTCACTGTCATTCAGGAAAAGGTAGTGAGTGACCTTGCCCATCTCCTGTGCTGTTTTTGTGCTCTCTTGACTCCTAAGGCAGCCTATGGCCCAGGCACTGATGAAAAAAAAAAAAAAAAAATGGGGGAGGGGCTTATGAGATTTAACTCTCCGAATGCAAAACCCCTCCCCACCACACTTGGGCCTTGCTTAGTCTTGTTGCTTACCAACAGGCAGAAGACTTACCTTGTGAGTAAGGGGTTTGGGCTTCCCACCCCAGCCCTGGAAAAATAGTCCCACTGGCCGTGGACTCCAACACTGGAGATGACTGACATTTCCTCGGAAAAAGAGGATGGTCTTCAATGGGGCCCACCAGCCAGTTCCCTTTCTCCATAACCACCCCGAAGGTCTCACCAAATGTGGTTGGATGGAGGAGACAGAAACCAAAACTGTGACTTTCCACCTAGAGACCAAAAATATCCGGTGGGGTCTTATGCAGAAAAAAGGCGGGAGGGAAGCAGTCCACGCATGGAAAAGGTGGGGCTGCAGCACGAGACAGTTTGATCCATCAGCTCCTGCGGCGTGGGCCTGTGCTCTCCCACCACGCACCTCGGTGGCACAGCACCCTGATCTTCCAGGATATGGGGGAATGCCATGGCAGCCCTGTGGCACGGTGACAATGATCATTCAAACCCAATTTAAGCCCAGTGTCCTCACACCATTGCCATGAGAGGGCCCTAACCCTAAAGATACTGACCTGATACTCTCTGTGGGTAAGTGACAAATATGAGTAGGATAAAGAGACACTCCCCCACCCCCACTATATCCAGTGATAAACAAACCAAAAAAGGGCACTGAACAAAGAAACCTGGATATAGGAGGAGGACACACACAAAAATTAATTAAACAGAGGTTCACAATTTGACC